ATATATATATATATATATATATATATATATATATATATATATATATATATATATATATATATATATTTATATACATATATATATATATATATATTAAAGACTTTTTGTTTTTTATTAATCATAATGTTGAATTTTTATCATTAGAATGTGTTATGTAAATCTCAGAGTATTTCAATACCTGGCAATCATAATTATGCAGAGAATGAGAAGTATTGGAGTTATGAACAACCTGAAAAGGTATTTACAAATTATTAAACTGCAGTTTACATAATGTTAGTTGTGCAATCATTAACTGCATAATTTTGCAATTTGTTTAATGCAATTAAAATATTTGAACAATATTGCTATATTTTAATATGCCTTATAATTAGTCATAACTTTGTTTTATCTTTTTTCTAAATCAAATCATAATCATTTTTAGAAACTGCTTATTTATAAATATTTACCATAATTATAGACAACTGGTCTTTTATTAATATATTTTGATATTTACCAAAAGTTTTACTAACGGAGATATACTAAAAGGAGATAAAGTTATCTTATTACATTTTTTAGCTATTTAGTATTGTGTATAGGGTATTACTATATTTTGGCTTTTTCGTCATCATATATGAATTTTAAAGCTTTGTTATTGTCCAATTTCACAATTTTGTGAAGATAGACAAAACAAAACCTGTACAAGATGTTGTGAGGAAAGCTATAAGAAAAAGTGAGATAAAGCTAACACAAAATCTTGTGGAGAAAACTGTATAAAAATTGTCATAAAGTGTACATAAAAATTTTTTGAAAATTCTCTATAAAAATTAGTCATAAAACATAAGAAAGCTACAGTAAAGTTTCTATGCAATCTTTGCAAACATTGATTTTAGTAAACTTGTACTTGGTCTATTCCAAATAAGGTGCTATTAATTGGTCGTTAAAACAAAGTTTTTTTTTTTCAAATGTCAGCATTGTTTTTGCATATTTTCTTAATATAATACTTTTTTAATCATTTCTTTTCCAAAAAAATCTTTAATTAAATAAAATATCACCCTCTTTTTATATATTGCTACTTAGTTACATTTTTTAAGCAACAATGAAATGAATGATTTATGAATTAATGTACAAAATGATTTTATTTTCATCATCCAATAAGTTTGTTAATACCTTAAAAAAGTCTTTGAGAGAGAGAGATGTAGCAGATGTTTTTACTGTAGATAATTTACATTGTATTATTAATTTAGTTTAATAGAGTTCTTAGCTATTTATTAATACAAAATTATTTTAATTAAGAAATTTTTTTGTAGATCACAAATCTGTTGGAATTAAAATCCTAGCTGCTTGTCCATGATTTTTAACTAACTTTTAATTTATTCATTATTTTAAAATATATTTTTCCATCTGACATATTGTAATAGAGAAAACTGTGAGTTATAAAGTTGTTATTAGTTATAAATTACTTCAGCTATCTGCAATACTTATGAAAGTTATCATAAATCTACAATATGCAATAAAATCACACCTTTGCGTACTTTAAATCCACTTAGAGCAATTTCTAAGTGAATTAGAATCAAAAGAAGTAAAAAATTGTTTTAATCAATATTTTCATAATTAATGTTAAAAAAAAGTGGTTTAAACAAATAAAATTAAAACAAATAGAAAATAAAACTGTTATAAATGTTATAACTTTCATCCATCGCTCCCCATACGACACATCAGTGATTATATAAATTTGATATAATACTTTAAAAATTCCCTATGGATTGACTCTCCGGCTTGTTCAGATACAAGTCCTAGTCCATAATCTGATTTTAGTTTACAAAGGCATTAGTCAATGTGTTTAAGAATGTGCGTTTTTAGAGTTTCAGATACATCTGTTGCTTCCAAAAAACATGGTTGACGAATCCTTGCATTAAAGGTAATTCAGGAAGAGGGCATTTAGCTATAACTAACATAGAATTTGGTTCGTCGAAAAGTGGAAGATTCACTGTGCTCATAGTGTTTGGGGCATCTTTTTTTTTTATCCCTCCTAATGACTGACCTAGTAAAAAACCTAGTAAAGTATTTATTAAACATGTATTAAATGTTTATAATTAAACGGGTGATAGTAAATTGATAACAGAAAATTATCTAAAACATAATGTTTAATTTTACCTGTGATAGCATTTTCTCAGATCACCATATGTTCGAAAAACTACCCATCTATTGTTCAAAGGTTTCAAAGAAATACCTAAATTGCAGTTTACATCTCATACATTTTCCTCCTCCTGTGTAATTTAATTAATCATTGGAGTGACTGTAGTTTAACATAACAATATGGACAAGGATTTGTTGAAGTGGCTGTCTGCAGACCATTAAGAACCAAAATTAATTTAAAGTCATCTACAAAAAAATAAGGAGTTTTATCTAACCAAATTAGATTAAACAGCAGTTTCATGTTTTCATAAGATTCTTTAACTTGATGTACTATACAAAGTATTATTAATCTGTGAACACCTGTTAACTTTCTTTTTTTGCTAGTTGTACCCCCTTTAGAATACAATGATGTTTTTTTATTAGGAAGGCTCAATTTCTCCTACTTTTTGAAATCATTAGTTGCATCCTCAGTAAATTCACGATTTAGCTTGAGTAATAACTTTCTGGTAAAATTGTTGTACAGATTTTTACAAAACCTTTGCCTCCGTTACCTAAATTAAGCAGAACTTCCGAAAATTATATTACTTATTACAAATTATGAATTTGCGCCTTCATTACCTATAAATTTTGAATAAAAATATCACTCTCTTTATTTATTATTATATATAAATTATGCTTGTAATATTTACCTCAACAAGATTTTAAAGTTGTGATGCATATATAGCAATCAGGGCCTTCCCAAAGAGATTTTAAAACTTATCTAAAAAACAATTAAAAAAATAAAAGGTCCTCGTTTTCTGACATTTGCAGACTGCCAACTATAAATCCAATTTTGCCAACTCCAGTGTCCGATTTGTTGACTAATAAAATTCGTAGGGGGGCTAGACTCCCCCTATGCCCCCACCCCTTGGAACCGCCCTGATAGCAATTGCATTGTCTATCTCCTCTAATTCTAGTTTCTCTTATCAATAGTATGTTTTATCAATTCAAGCAATTTTCTGTTTTTATTATCTTTTTCACGCTTCGTGTTTTTCTGCAAGTACCACTTATACTAAAAGAATATTTGCTATTTGCTATGTCAAAATTTGAATTTGTATACATTTTAGTTTATTCAACTATCTTTTCTGTGATAGCAAACTGCTGAGACTTTTTTTTTGAAATTATTTTTTTCCCACATGGTGCTTATACTTTTACTGTAGCTTCATCATGATTTGCTAATTTGCAATTTTAAGTATAATACTCAATACTTATTTTTATTTCATAAATTTCCAAAAAATAAAGAAGATGTCGAAGATAAAGACTTTATTTTTATATGCTACAATAATATCATAGTTCTCACATTTGTTATTAATTTAGTTCAATAGAGTTCTTAGCTATTTATTAATACAAAATTAATTTAATTAAAAACTAGAATATTACACAAATGATCTAGTTATCCTATTAAGTATTTAAACCGGGCATTGACGTTTTTAAGAAAAAATGGTCGATTTGAAAGTCATTAAAAAATCTTGGATGAGCAGCTAGGATTTTAATTTTAACAGATTTCTGATGTACAAAAAAAGTTCTTAAAGGATCTGGAAACAGTTTTTGTTGACATTTTTTATCGATCTTGAATTTGTTGAGGGACAGTGTGTATAGGAAACTGTATGACCAATGCATTATTATAGTGAATAATGCTTTGATGATTTGAAAAAAATTAATTTAAAAATCCCATTGTTTCATTTCTAGTTTCTGTATATTTCTAAGTTTATCCAAATATTTAATTGAAAAATATTTTACCATATATATCTTTCAGCTACATTAATCAATGTTGAAATTTTTGGTAAAAAAAAGTATGCATGATGAAAGAAATATATAGCAAATTATTTTTTAAATTTTAGAAAATTGTTTTTAAAATTTTTAAAAAATCTAAAATAATTTTTAAGTTTTTAAAAAATAATTTTCTGTAATCTAAAATCTTAAATTTTTCCTTTTTTTTTAGTTAAAGTCATATTCTGTTGATTTGACATCTTCAAGAGTGCAGTATCCTCTTTCTGACATGGATAGTCCGATATCTTCTCCATTATCTATGAGGTAGCAATTAATTTTGTATGCTATATATTTGATAGTGGGTCTACATAGTTTTTGTTTAACATGTTAAAATTATTTTAAATATCCAGATTTGATAAAGTTTTATCTAACTTTATTTTCTGAGAATTTACTTTATGGGCTTACTTCAAAATGCAGAAAAAAATATTAGTATTTCAATTTTTTGAATAAAGCTATGTAATATTGTTTTGTTATTATAAATATGCATAAGTAATTTAAATTTATTTTAATTAGTCCATCAGAGTCACATTTGCGCACTGTATTCAGTGACACAGAAACTCCATCAGTAGAAAATGCAATTGAACAAGATATTACATGGTTGTGGGGTCAGTTGCCAGAGGTATTTTTATTATTTTTTAATCCTTTTTTTTCCTTCAACAATTCAATCATTTACAATTCAAACTGCTTATTTGTTAACTTTTGAATACTTTTAAAAAGAATAAACCAAAAACTCCTCGCAGCGCAACTTTAGTAGAACGAAGAAAGAAAACTAAAGAGAAAAAGTTGGAATCAGAAGGCTTATTACTAGCTGATGTTCTTGCTGCTGACAAAGATGTTGCTGATATTTATTTGCACAGGTTTCTTTTATATATATTATTTAAATTATATTTATTATATTCTTATATATATATTTTTGTTTATTTATCTTATTATAGTTTTTAGTATGGTAGTTATAGAGTATTAGTTGTGATTTTTAAAATTGTGGAAATGCTCTTGTCAATATATTGGCGACAGATTTCATTAAAAAAAAAAAAAGAAATTATCTTTAATATTGATAAAGCTCATTGTTGATTTATGTGTATGGCATTGAAGTATAGAGAATGTGTTATTAATCATAATGAATTATAAGGCATACCTGTCATTATATTATAACCTAAAATTTGTAGCTCATCATTAAAATGTAAAATTTATAACTCATTTTAAAAAACATATATATATTTAGTTTTATGTTTATAAACAACTGTATGTTTATGTATTGTGAGTTTTTTTTCAGGTAAATATTAAAGAAAATGTCTAACTTATTTTTACGATAGTTTAATGAGCTTTAATATTTAATATGAGTAGTAAATGAAAAAAGTAAAAAGCATATAAAAAATATTTCTTTAAAAAATCAACAAAAGATATTTGATTATTTCATTAGTAGTATGTCTAAAAAAAAATACATCTCCGCAAATATGTTCTTCATCAGTTCCAACTTTTTCTGATAATCTGGAGTTACTAGATAATTTTCTAAATGTGGCTAACTAAAACTAGAAGTAAAAGAAGCATCTTAGTATAAGTTTTGATCCACTTTTAATGTGAATCAGGCTTTTGATGGTAGCCTTGACACCTAGATACTCATCCTTTGGTTACTACCCTGGAACATTACCAAATAATGTGTAACTGTTTTTAGACAAGTTTAAAATTTGTTCCATTCAATTTAAAATCAGCTTTTGTTGTTGTTTTTTTTTATGTTAATTCACCTCCCAAAGGTCAAGAAGGCCACTGCTTGGAAAGAGACTGCTTTAGTTGTGGTTACAACCCTCTCTCAACTCTATAACTCCAAAACAAAAATCTTGATAAACAAGGCTGCTGCGCAAAGAAACAAGTTTAGCGAGGTACTACCAGGGAAATGGTGGGGATCAAACTTGGAACTTTTTGTTTATGAGGTAAGCGCTCTACCACTACCGCATTTACCATACACCTCTACCGCAGTTTAAAATTTCAAGTTTAAAATTGTTAATGGTCTTAATCGTTTATGGTAATCATTATTAATAACGATGACACAATATTAACTTGGTATGTTTCAATATATCATTCAGAAAGTTATTTGAGTTTCTGATTCAGAAACTCATTTATTCAATATAGTCTTAACTTATTATTTCTCATTTTACATAGATCAAAACACTTCCAACTTGATTTTTAGTTTGTCTTTCAGATAAAATCCACACAAGAAAAAGTTGAAACTGATGAAGAAGATATTTGTGAAGATATAGTTTTTCTGTGACAAATTACTAATGAAATAATCAAATATCTTTTAAAGATTTTTTCTTCCAAAACCTCGAAGATAGAAAATATAATCACTTTGATGCTCATTTAAAGAAATCCAAGTTTTGGTTAAGCAAATTGTTTTTTAAATGTTTTCACTTTCTTCTTAAAAAATTTGTTCAAAAAATAATTATTTTATTTATCATAAAAAGTTTATTATCAACAACTCAAATGCTATAAGAGCTATAATATTCATCAATTTGTAAAAATAAATTTAAAATTAGTTAATATTTTTTCTTTACATTTTCTTTATACTTTCCTTAAAATAACACATTTAAAATTTAGATATAAGTGAAGAAGGTCAAAACAAAATAAATGAGTTCATTGAATGAAAAATTTTTATTGAGTATTTATTAAATGTTTACAAGTACAACTTTTATGAAAATATTTTTTTTTAACGGGTACCCATGGGCCTGCCCATTCTTTTGGCAATTTCACAATTTTTCACAAGACTTAATGTAAAACTATTTTAACATTTTATATGCGGTAGTGGTGTAGTGGTAGAGCGCTCGCTTCATAAACGAGTGGTTCCGAGTTCGATCCCCACCACGTCCCTGGTAGTACCGCGCTCAACTCGTTTCTCCGCGCAGCGGCCTTGTTCGTCAAGGTTCGTGTTTCGGAGTTATAGAGTTGAGAGAGGGTTATAGCCACGAATAAGTAGCCTCCTCGTCTGTAGTGGCCTTCTCGGCCTTAAGGAGGTGAATTAAAATTAAAAAAAAAAAAAAAAAAAAAAACTAACAAGGAAACAAATAAAATTATTTGAAATGATCTGACCTACATTTCAACAACAAAAAAAGTAAACAACAAAAAATAAATTATTAATTTCTTCGCCTTTTTACTAATATTAAACATGACATGGGAGCAGGTTTGTGAAGCCGACTGTTTTTATTACGGCTCATCTCCGGCTCCTAAGAAATATCCGGCTCGGCTCCTGGTTCGGCTCCGGCTCGCGAACTTTATGAACAAAAATCGCAAGTTTTGGAAATTTTTTTGATCACATCTTACCCATAACTATACTAACTACAGCAATTTAATTTTTAACCAACTCTCATGATAACACGGTTATTGTATTACTATCACTACTCTACTCAACTACCGGATATTATACCTTTGAAAAGAAAAATGTTTTGGGTAAACAAACACTTTTTTCTATATATTATTTGCCCAAAACTAGAGTTTTTAGTCTGAATTTTAATTCTATTTCTACCCAAGAGGCACGTACCTAAAAAAAACATCTTTTGAAAGTCCCAAAGACATACAAAACGTTCAAAAGGCATCCAAAACTTTCTAAAGACGTTTAAAAGACTTCTTTTGTGTCCCGTGCCCACTGGGTAAAACATGCAATCGTTAAATCCAAAACGAAAAAAATTCAAAAAAAAAACATTAAGAAATAGTTCAACTAATGCAAAAACTTAAATATTTATGTTAATCTAAGGAATTTGAAGATTAAAAAAGTGCTTTTTATTTTAATATTTTTCATTAATTTGAATAGCGATCATTTACGCTAATTGACGACATCAACTTCTGCTCAGTGTTTTTTACAGTTTTTTTCCCTACTAATGTTAACTTTCTAATCATACCTTTAGCTGTACTTATTGTTTTGCCACTTTTACACAAATGTTCTTTGCCGATTCTCCAAAATGTCTCAATGGGACGGAACTGTGTGCAGATTAATGAATTCAAGCTTTTTGGTATGAATTTGAAGTCTCTCAAATTGTACCAATTTTTTTAAAATAATGACAAGAAGTAAGATTAGGCCAGAACTAAAAGGGGACATCGTGATTTCGATAAAATTGCAAAAGTTTAGCTTGCAAGTATTCTTTGATGTAAAAATCCGAGTTTAAAGTTGACGATGCGACAAAAGCTCAAGATCTCAAACCTCAGCTGCATATTGCTTGTTAAAATTTAATCTTTAAAAAACTCTGAAATTTTATACCTTATGGCTTGTTCTTTGTTCGATAAGCCGGGGTTTTGATTGATGATCGTTGAATAATAAATAAATACTAGTTGCTGCTTTCTTATCCTTAAAGCCACTCTTTCTTCCAGATCCTTTTGCTCGTTCAATAGATAGAGAGCTCCTGTATTGTTTTATGCCCATACAAACAATAGTTTTGCTAGATTCAGATGCTTTAGCGATTGAAAGTAACGATGCAGAAGAAATAGGTAGATTGTTGTGCAGACTTTTTTTTCGTTTTTTTTTTAACTGTTTCAATCACAATTTAATTAATAGAAACATTTTGACTCGTTTGTTGATGTTTTTAATTAATACTATAATTACTTGAAGTAATTACGCAAAAAAATTACATTAAAAATGTGTTAGTGACAAGTTTTAAAACGAAAATCATCGTTTCGAGTTTAACGATTCCATACTTTAATATAGTTTTAAAGATATGAATAACCTTTGATCATTAAATGGCACATCAAATATTTAACAGTATAGAATCAGTATAAAAATATAATTTAAAACATATAAAAATATAATATAAAGCTGTAATTTTTCCATATACAGTATCGAACAAAACAAATGCAACCAAATAATGCTAATTTAGTTTCTTTATATAAAAGTGCTGCATTTTTTCAATTTTGAGAAATAACTATGTAACTGTTTAGAGACAATGTTCTTCAAGTTTTATTCATCACAAAGTTCATTATTTGTACACGAAAATTAATAAATTAATCAAAAGTATTTAAATAAGTTGATTACCTTCTGGACAAAACAAGTGCAACTCTACAAAATGTTGACTAAGCTGTTTTTCGCTATCAATATTTCGTGGTGAATCCTTTGCTGTCGATCCAAGCCTTGCATCTTCGAGGCATAGATTCGATCAGGTGATCAATGAAACTTTGTGGAATCGCTGCCCAGGTCTTTTGGATTTGTTCAAACAGTTGTTTCTTATTAGGAACACCTTCACGATTAATTCTGCGGCTGACGATCTCCCACAGGTTCTTGATAGGGTTGAGATCCTGAGATTGAGGTGGCTAATCCATCACCGATAGGTGGTTGTCTTGAAACCACTGCTTGACTACTTTTGCAGTGTGTTTCGGATCGTTGTCATGCTGAAAAACCCATTTTATTGGCATATTCCATTCAGCATGTGGTAACATATCATCTTTCAGGATACTTTTATAGATGAAACGTTCCATTATTCCATTGTTTCGATGTATTAGACCTAGACCGTTAGCAGAAAAACATTCCCAGACCATTACAAATGCCATCGCTCCCAATAACGTTGAACTTTGATTCATCACTGAACAAGACAGCTCGCCATTCTGCACATTCTAGTCAATATGAGATGTAGCAAACAGGAGTCTTTTCTTCTGGTTCTTTAGTGAAATCAGCGGTTTCTTTGCAGGGCGTCGAGAAAACAATCCGGCTTCAACAGCACATCGACTGATTGTTCGGTCCAATACAGGCAGCTCAAATTGCTTTTGTATCTCGACTGATGATATCCAGGTATCCTTCTTGATGGATCTGACGATCATAGAATCCTCTCTAGAAGTGGTGGAACCCGCTCTTCCACCTTTGTTATCTACTGCCAACTTCCCCGTAGAACGATATTTGGAACATAGTCTTGATACGGTCCACTTTTCACCCGATATTTATCACAAATACTTTTTTGTGACATTCCACTTATGTAATCACCAATAATTTTCCTTCTTAGTTCCAATCCAAGACTGTTGGGAGCCATTTTTGCACTTGAAGTCATAAAAATAATAAAAATAAATAATCACGCTTTTCAAGGCTTACCGTGTTACATTTACCTGATAAGGATACAATAATGCTCTGTGGAACACAAAGTCTTGGTTGGATGTGGACTATACTGATGTATTGAAACACTTGTTGTAGTTCACTTCTTGTATTGATGTTCTTCGATATAACATTTTGATAAAACTCACTTCGATAAACTGTCTTGACAATACTTACTGATTGACATCTATATACTGACTGAATTACATATCGGTTTACGTCTCTTATATAGTAAAATGAACGTGTGTGAACCTGTTCTGGAAGATTCTAGATGCTTCTGGAAGCTTCTGAACGCATCTGGTTGCTTCTGAATGTTTCTGGATACTTCTGGATGCTTCCAGATGCTTCTTCTGGAAACTTCTGGAAACTTTTGCATGCTTCTGGAAACTTCTGGAAACTTCCTTTAATTATTAAAAAACTTCGGTGACATTGACTCTATCCAGACTTAAGAAAATAAAACAAACCAAAAAAGTTGCATTTGTTTTGTCTGCTGCAAAATGGCATTTGTAAATGAAATTCTGCCTGTGTGCTGTCAGCTAATTGCTCATGCCATGGCATGCTATGACTCCAGGCTCCTGAACTGTTTGCTGTGGTAGTATAGTTTGTTTCAATTTTAAGACATGTAAAACTAGGAACACTTATTGGCATTGTTCGATGTTGGTTGGAAATGTTTTGTCCAATATTGTATAATTTCATTTTTTTTTTAATATAAAGCATATTAAGAAATACTATTAAAGAATAGTATTTTGTTGAGTACAAAATCGTTAAAATAGTTACTTTTATTACAGTTTGGCAAGACCGAAGCTGTTAGAAAAATTAGAAATTCAATGTTAAACAATAAATGAATGAAGTTTGTCTAGAGTAAAAAAATAAAAAATATATATTCTATTCCTTTAAAAAAAACACGAGAGTCGAGAGCTGCTTGATTTTTTGAAACAGCGGCTCCCAGGCTCCACGACTCCGGCTCGGCACCATAAGCCTGCATGGGAGTACTTGAATCGCTCAAAAGCCAAACTTTTTAGAAAAGATTTATAATGTCATGTTAAGTAACCACCTGTTATTGAAATAAAAAGAAATTTAAATTTTTTTCAGATTAAATGATTTAAAAAAGGGTGAAACACAACAAAAAATAGTAGCCTTTTAAAAAGTGAAGAGTTGTGTTTAATTTTAAGATTTGAGTTAATTTTAAAAGTTATTAAAAAAAAAATTAAAACCATTTAATTTCTTTATATAACAATCAGATTAATTTAAAAATTTTATATTTAATATTGGTTAGTAAAGTTCCTTAGGTTTTATTAGTTAAACAACAGATATTTAGTAACATATTTATTCTATTTATAGGTGTTTTATGTATTTTCTTTAAAGTAACATATTTATTCTATTTATAGGTGTTTTATTTATTTTCTTTAAAAAAAGTTTTAATTTAATTTAGAGGTTCTGGAGATGAAATGGACTCTGGCTTTGACTGGGAGTTAACTAATAATGATGAAACAAAAGAGCAAAGTAAAGTTTCTGAAAAAGAGTTGCCAACAACTGATAAAGAGTATGTTTAAAGCCATATTCTAAAAATAATGTGAATAATATATTAAAAACAATTATAATAATTTTTCACTACCGTCCATAATTTTAGTTGCACACATTATCTTAAACTCTTATATTTTTTATCTTGAAAGAGACATTTTAAAGATAAAAATATTAGCCAAATTAACTCTACCATAAGTTTAATTATGTTATGGAATAAGATATTTTAAAAAATACCAACATTTTCAAAAAGTGTAGTGAAAATGATAGCCTTTCATTATAATAACAGTGAATAGTATAAATAAGCAATAGACTTGAATCCTTTGTTGTCTATTTGGAGAAAGGATGCTGGATGATGCATAGTGCAAACAGTTAAACATGAGGGCAACATTATATTTGAGGTTGTTTTAAAGGTGACCATGTTGGAAAACTTGTGAAAGTTTTCCAACATGGCCATAGGATATAGTACTACAGTTGATGGCTTGGGCACCTCAAAGTCCTGGTTGGAATCTATTCAAACTACTTTGGGATCACCTAGACAGTGAGGTGTGAAAAAATCCTTTCAAGAAGAAAATAAGACCAATCAAAATTATTTCAAATTATTTTGGTAACAGATTTCCTTATAATTGCCAAGCTATCATTAAATCTAGAGGTGATCATATTGGTAAAAACCCAATTTAATGCAAAAAAAACTTAATTTATAGTTTTCTTATGGGTATTGAATAATTTATAAAGTATTAAAAAATTATTTATTGTTTTATTGCCTTTATAAAATCGTAAAAGAATTCAAGTTTGTTATAAAATCTAAATTTTCTATAAGTGCAATTAAACTTATGGACGTTAATCTGTGTGTAAATATTTATGATTTAATTCCAAGCAACAGGGCTGTCCCGAAAAAGTACTCCATGGGGGAGGGGGGGGCGAGTATGTATTTTTTTGCAAACTAAAAAACACACACACACAAAAAAAAAACGTTTTTAATATGCCAACTCAAATGCTT